AACGTATATGTATGTATCGATGTAGCGTTGAGCGCATGAGAAAGTATAGATATCGATTATCGCGACACGCTGGTGGACGCTCAAAACGCTGGATCAAAGTGCTACCGCAAAATATGACCGCTCTACTTCAGTATAGGAAACGAGACAGGTATTGTTTACAGGTTTGCGAAATGCTTCCCCCTCCTGAACCAGACTAGCGCTCAAAAGTTGCCGAAATTAATGCTTTCCGCAGATCTACAGTGCAAACATAAGCAGCTTTGAATCTTACGGTTGGCTTACTAAAGTAAAACAAGGCATTTATCTTTTGGCCTGCCTAGTGAGCGAACTGTAATGCATCTGCAGAAAGATCGAGTTGTAAATGGCACTTCCTTCAGGTTCGCAAGTTAATGCGTTCAAAGATGATTCGCTGCAAGCGCTGCAAGAACCGTTTTATCGAAAGGAACATCTACGAGCGGCACTTAAGAGACAAGCATCCGGAGGATTATACGGTCTACATTGAGGAACAGGTGAGAGGAGAGATGCTACAGTTACTTGTCTACTTACTTTCGGGAACTTGATATGCATAGGAAGCGGAAATGGAACAACAGCGGCAAGAAGAGATTGAGGCAAATCGTATTGAGGAATTGCAAACCGGTGGATTTATCCCACCAGGAATCGGAGATCGAGGCTTCATCTTTCGAAGTGGATGTCGAGGGGTAGGTGAGATCTGTTCTTGGCAAAGAACTTTCGCAGGAGGAGCTCTCACAGCTTGTTGTTGAAAAGAATATTACTAAGAAGTTAGGAAATGCCATTTCTTTCTAAGTTCTTATGTTACATTCAGAATCCCCCTACCCGGTGAGAACAATGGTGGTGTTGCCCCTTTTCGGATTATTTTCGATGATTATGGACACTCAAACAAGCTTCAAACGACATACAAGAGAAAGGTCGTCGTAGTTTGTATCTCTTTGTTTTTGTTTGTTTGTTTTCTTTCTTTCTTCTTTCTTTTTTTCTTTCTTTCTTTCTTCTCTTTCTTTCTTTCTTTCTTTCTTTCTTTCTTTCTTTCTTTCTTTCTTTCTTTCTTTCTTTCTTTCTTTCTTTCTTTCTTTCTTTCTTTCTTTCTTTCTTTTCTTCTTTCTTTCTTTCTTTCTTTCTTTCTTTCTCTTCTCTCTCTCTCTCTCTCTCTCTTCTTTCTTTCTTTCTTTCTTTCTTTCTTTCTTTCTTTCTTTCTTTCTTTCTTTCTTTCTTTCTTTCTTTCTTTCTTTCTTTCTTTCTTTCTTTCTTTCTTTCTTTCTTTCTTTCTTTCTTTCTTTCTTTCTTTCTTTTTCTTCTTTCTTTCTTTCTTTCTTTCTTTCTTTCTTTCTTTCTTTCTTTCTTTCTTTCTTTCTTTCTTTCTTTCTTTCTTTCTTTCTTTCTTTCTTTCTTTCTTTTCTTTTTTCTTTCTTTCTTTCTTTCTTTCTTTCTTTCTTTCTTTCTTTCTTTCTTTCTTTCTTTCTTTCTTTCTCTTCTTTCTTTCTTTTTTTCTTTCTTTCTTTCTTTCTTTCTTTCTTTCTTTCTTTCTTTCTTTCTTTCTTTCTTTCTTTCTCTTCTCTCTCTCTCTCTCTCTCTCTCTCTCTCTCTCTCTCTCTCTCTCTCTCTCTCTCTCTCTCTCTCTCTCTCTCTCTCTCTCTCTCTCTCTCTCTCTAAACTCAGTCCAACTGATTATATTGTGGCTTTTCAGGTTTCGCCACAGTGCCCATTCTGCGATAAACGGTTTCGCAATGAATACTCGTTGAAGAAGCATTTCATAAAGAAGCATTCCGAAATGGTTGAGTTCAAGCAGTGTACTAGGTGTTTCAAATGTGTGAAAGATGACGAGGAAATGGAATCTCACCTTTGTGAATTGGTAAGTTGGTGGTTGTCTGAAAAGTTTCGGATCCAGTTGCTCGATTTCATCGCAAAAATCATTGCAAAGAAACGCTGTATCGTATGGTTCGCTGCGGATGAAGGGGCGTGTCCGACGGGACGGGTTCGGCGCCAAACCCGTTCTCTACAAGTTGTTGGAGCGGGTAAGCGACTGCAGTTGGTGGAAAAGGACTGATATACGAGCGATATGATGCAGCATTGTTGCTTGCTCGCTTCATCAACTTATAGAGAACTGGTTTGGCACCAAGCCAAGCCCATCCCGCCTGACACGCCTCCTTCACCCCAAGCGAGTAAGACTGTAAGTAGTGGCGAGTAAGACTATAACCGCATTTCTCCCAGTTCCGCGTAATTTGCAGAAATGCCGAAATGACGGACAGCGACTTGATAGGGATTGATCGCTTAGCCTCACCAGCGGAATTTCTGCATTTCGGCATTTCTGCACATTCCGCACTTCTGCATTTCTGCATATTCCGCGGTTTTTGAAATCGATAGACATATTTTCTTCTTCTGCAAGTTCCGCGGTTCTCCCAATTCCGCAGGTCTGCAAATTCCGCAGTTCTGCACATTCCGTGGTTCGGCATTTCTGCATCATGTATGAACGCGGCCTAACGACGTAGGGAGGTAGCCAAGGGTGGAGTAGTGGGGAAGTGCGTCAAAGGGAGGTTCCTTTGTAAGGTGCAATATCTCCTAGCGTTTTCGACATTTTATTACAGGGTTACAGCTTTACAAAGTAATTATCTAGCATGACGGAGATAGGGATCCATATTAAGGTTTTCAAAGCCATTTATGAACCACCCCTCGTTTGTTCGCTGTTCCTCATCTTTGTCCATGAGTCAATGTGTTTACTGCTATTGTTGACCTCAGTACTTCCAGCGGAGTTGTTATGTGAACTTGTTTTGATACCGTTCAGTAAAACTTCACATAGCAATTTTGCTGATACACAAGAAGCCTAGAAATTGCATGTTATGGTTTTTTTTTTCTTCCTATTAATTCTCCTCCTTTGAAGACTTTCATCTGCTTCGAATGCACACCTATTCGGAACCTATGTAGCGATGTACGATTGCTGAATCATCGGAAGAAGTTCCATCGAGGTGAGCTAGTTTGAAAATTCTTGTTTTACGTGGTCACGGCTTTATTGAAAACATAAATCTTTGAGATTGCAAGGGATTGACTGAAAAAGGAACTTTTTTATTATGGCCATCGAAACTCTTGTCACCATTTATTGTAACTGTTATTGTATGAGGTTCAAGGGGTTACATGGCCAACTTATTTTCCAGTTGGGTAGGGGTTTACAAGGGTGAAGGTACTGTAGCAGTTTTTACGGTTTGCAATGTGTAAAAGAGGTTGGCTTCCGATCTAGCTTATCTGAGACACTGCATTTTGCTTGCTTTCCTTTCTGGCGTCCCTTCAGCCAAAATTTACAGTAGAATATACATTATGCAGGGCATGTCGTACAGTGGGTATACGACACTCCATACTCCGAATTGGGAGGGCGTGGCTGCGTGCATCGTTTGAACATGACACAGCGTGTATTTTTCATGGAATATTTTCACTTGAGGGAACTTCACTTCACTTTTCACTTGCCATCCTGTCTTGTGCAGAATCAAGGCTTGGTTTTAGTAGAATCAGAGCGGCAGTGCCTCCCACGATTTTAGGCGTGGCGCTCAAATGATGTGCTCAGCCACTCCCTCCCCATCTCTGGGATATGGAGTATATTTGTATTCTTTTCAGAAAGATCAATGGCCTTCTGTAGGAACGAAGTTTATTAAACTGGAGTAAACTAAACTTATCTTAATTGCCTGCGATTTAGGGGCCAATTCTGGATTCAAATGTAACCTATGCAATCTGAAGTTCTTGACGCCGAGGAAGTTGCGCAAACATAAAAAGATGTCGCATGTCTTCACAAAAACGTACCAGTGTCATTTCTGCGAAGAGATATTCATCAGTGAAGTGGCGGTAAGTCCTCTGTGTTGTTTCCCTACTGTATCTGTGCTTAAGTAGTATGCGCTTACATCCATCTTCGAACATCTCAACGACGATTTATCGTTCTTATCTCCAGGTGATGACGCACGAACGGATTCATACTGGCATTATCAAATTCGAATGTCGGATTTGTGACTTTAAAGCCAATCGCTTCATCCAAATGGAAGAGCACCGTAAAAACGAACACGGCTATATTTGTGCCATTTGTCAAGAACGAATGGCTGAATGGAGTGATATGAAACATCACACGCTGCTTAAGCATGGTGGCTATCTGACTACTGAGCAGAACGCAGGTGAGCTCAACCTTCCGGCAGTATGTCTTTGACATATACTCGGGTATAGCGTCTCTGGTCAGTAATGACCATGATTTATGTTGAACGACTATGTTTTACTGACTATGTTTTATTTCGACCTGCTTGAAGAAAAATGCGAAGCAAAACCACCTTTCAGTATACATGGTAGTTTTGTAATGTCCTATAAACTGTGATACAACGAAGTGATAGATGTTCCATTTGTGAAGGGGCAGTTGACTGCACTTGGGACATCTCCTGTTAGGACGAAAACAGCGGAGCCGGAAACTGACTCAGTCTTCATTGGGGTCTTTTTTGAGTTTTTCGAGATCCAGATAATATGCAGGAAGGTCTGTTGATCTGATTAGCCGGTCGAAATCAAATTACGTACTCTGCTGACAGTACTGGGGAACATGCCAAGATCTGTCGCACTTGGACAATTCAAGAGTGTACCTGCAAATGCGAAAGTAGATGATTTTTGTTGGTAGACCTGGTAAGGCTGCATTTATACTTTGTGGCACCATTTCGAGCGAACGCCAGCGAGCGACTAGGAAAGTATGGATGTCAGTCTGGCGTCTAGGGTCTACCAGCGTGCACCAGCGTCTATCAGCGTTCAAGCTCTGATCGGGTGTAGAGAGTATGGGGAAGTAGGGGGGTAGCAAACAACTGGATTAGGCGTCGTGAAATTGCGGTCTTTGTAATCGCACCGTATAATTACACTACACCGTACTGAACACAGCCTAATTCATATTAGGCGCGCTAGGCGACGGAGAGGGGGGGGAGGGGCTCACATTTTGCTTCTTCGCTACCCCACTGGGTCCTGTTTACAGGGCTCACTGTGATGAAACCTGTGAGCTCTTGTGAAGCTGCTCGTCGAGGCACCGTGATAAATGGTATTCGTGTGACATTTCATTACTTTACAAGAGCTGATTTTAACTGGAATCATTCGAGGATTCGCATAGACTTCTCAGCTCTTCACTTAATGGCACGACTGGGGTCGATGGAAAGTAGCGCAAGTGGGATCCCCACCTTCCCTCCCCGCTGCCGAACTGCGCCTACATATTGTACACGACTGCACAGTTTGTATATCAGCCACCGGTCAAGCCAAATCGCTCAGTGCGTCGAATCAAATGCAACATAACACACCATAATGTAAGGAATTATATTCACTTGAGGGTACCTTTTATAAACCCTGTTTATTTCCTATGTTTTCATTCAGTCTAGGACGGAGAATTGCATTTTATGGATCCCATTGCAAATTTTGAGAACACTGAAGAGCAACAGCGGTGTTTCGCCCGAATAGTCATAATATCCAAGCAAATAGGTAATTGCATATTTTACTAGGAATCCAGTCTTTGGCCTGCTTCTAATACGCAAATTCATGCTGACTATCAAAGGCATGGAAGAGCTAACTAGCAGTACTAACTAACCATTCCTGTGCCAGATGGGAGCCGGGCAAGAAAATCGTAAATCGCGTTCCCTCAATTTGCACTACCCTTTCGATTAGAGCATCGGATTTCATGTAGACAAGGACATGGTAGACACTTATGTCTATTTTTGGTCATACATTGTCTATTCTCGACCAATACCACCTAAAATCGTCGTCATTAGCGGGCGACGTCGCACGCGACGCCGACGCGGCGACTCACGATTCTCTTGCCACATAGCCGTGCCGGTTAGCCACTTTGGCGACGTAGCAGCGCTTTGATAATGACAATGTCATATTAAGGGTTTTTTTGTCACTAGATAGGGAGCTTTGCAGTCTAGGTGTTTATTACTATGTATTTCACTGAGATTAGCTGATTAGTTGAAATGCCATAAGTGTGTTAAAGATTAGGGAAAGATTATATGGACTTTCAGTGCTGTCGTTAACATTTTCAAGGTACGGTTCACATCCGTGCACGTTGCACGAACTCATTAAACAGTTTTCATGAGAATATGCACTATATAAAACTCACTAGGGTCATATTTGTAAAAAATTATTCCCTAACAAACAAAAAAAAACGAAATCGTATCCAAAAAAGAAAATTCATGTTTATAGTTGTGAGTTCCATTGCGTGCGTCTGTGCAATGAATTAGCACACTGCTGCAGTTAATGGATTTATGATCCATAAAAGTGCTCTCTTTTTTGAATTTATAATTAGGTCTATGGAGAGCGATGAGCAATAAAGTTCAGTTGATGCTAGAAAAAAAACTTGGAAGTTTTATTAAAGTTGAAAGATATAGTTTTTTACACTCTTCTTGGTAGTTAGGCGATGTAGTAGCAAATGACACCACTCACTACGAACGCGCTCCCAGGGTGAAATTCCGGCTGAATATCTTGACTTCACCCAAGGCTTTCATTCTTCCACGACAGGTTAATTGGTACCAGAGGATTTCGCTTTCCGAGGATAAAGAAAAACTTGGAGATGGTGGGCAGGAGGAGGGTGGGAATAAAGGAGAACAGGTGTTTTGTCAGTTACTCCAGCCTTAGACTTAGTTCCACCGTGGTGTTGAGCACGCGGGTGACGGAAGCTCTTCACTGTTGCTGATCTTTCGCAATTTATTGGGCCTGGTCCTGACGTTCTGAATTGGTAAGTCTTTTTCGGATGCTCGTCTCCACGTGTTTCTAGCCTCGAACTCGCTTGGCTCATGGAGGAATGTTAGTTCCCAGAAATAGTAAAATAGGATGGAAAATAGAATGCGCTGCCGATGAGGTGGCAATTGCTGTACATAGCAGTAGGGCACATCATCGTCAGAATTCCCCGACAGGGGAAGTGGGGGGGGGGTCGATGGTTGGTCTGAGAAAAAAAAATTTCTTTGTTGGTTGGTTTTCTTTTCTTGTTTCAGTGACGCTATAAAGAGGAGGGGGTCGTATTTGCTCGTTGTCAGGAGAGGGAGGTCGTATTTGCCTTCTGATCTTCTGCAAGAGGTTGCTGAGTTTTTGGGTCTTTCTTTTTTCATGGGTACTGTACACCCCCCCCCTTCGCTGGACAGCAACGGCAGCGAAATTCTTGGGTAGAACAAGGAAAATCTTCAGGAGATTCTGGAAAAATTGGTAGAAAGTTGGGAAATCTAGTAGTCCAATAAAGTGGTAGGTAGGGTGGGGAAGGGGGGGGGGGGGTCGTAGCAAGCCCCCTAAAAAGTGGAGGGGTCTTACCAAAGTCCCCAACCAATGATGCTGCCAGGTTAGTATGATGGTAGGATGGAGGGATGGGATGGAGCGGACGTTACTCCAAACTTTTGCCAACGACAGACGAGCCCTTTTCGGTAGCCGCATGCCATTGCATTTAACTTTACGCCTAGTTACTTCTGCGGGTCGGTTGTCCCTACTGATAATCGCTTTGGTCGGGAAAATACATCAAGTTATTTATTTAATACTTTAAATAACTTTTGTTTATTTATTTATTTGTGAGCATGCTGCAGGCAACACAACGAAACTCCAACTGTTAACACAAAGCAGTAGAGGAACCAGCGTGCAAATATAATAGTTATACCACCAGAAAAAAAAACTAACAAAGCCCCCTAAGAGGAATAAAAGCAGAGCAGCAATACAATATCATTTTGTAATATTTTGTTACCAGTATGATGTCATTTATGGTTCTGGTAAAGTTGTTCCCGTAGATGATTAATAAAATTTACATGTTTTCAGGATACATTGAAAGCCCCCGTGTATGGGTTCTATTCAAAGGCGAATGACGCGTTTTTGCGGTCTCTGTTTCTCTTCACGTTCTGGCATCTCTCTACATGAAGCTACCACACAAAGCTCAGCTTTACTATTATGTTGCACATGCATTGTTATGGTTCCCGCAGATGATTGTGTCATTTTCGCTATATTGTTGTCATGATTCATGTCCCCCCATCGAGGTTGTTAAATGTTGTTCATGGTTGTATATGCTGAGTTGAGATTTTTTTGCATAGAAGAAATGAGGTTCACCTCAATGACTTTTTGTTATTAATAGCATATGTTGGATAAGATAGATAAAAGGATTTTTCATTTGTGCAGGTGTTATTGAACGATGTTCATGAACTATGTGTCTGTGGGCCAATGAGAATATCATGGGGAGAAAAAGCGCTCTACGGCGAATGATGTCATCTAACCGCGACGCATGGTGCTAGCGTCCGTGTGGGCGTGTCTTTGGTCGCACGCTCTCTATACGTCCGTTCGACGCACGAGCAGCACCCGAGAGGGACCCTCTTTGTGAAGAGGAGGACCTCGACGGTCTTCTATACCCTCGAATATGGATGGAAATCCAAATCGGCGGCTTGAGAAGGTATGGACCACCTACGCTGCGTGGTTTTTGCGCTACTCAATTGGCTATAAAATTATATCAAACCAACTTCCATTGTTGGTGCTGGAGTTCTATTTTGTAAAATCGATGGACGTGATGGCCTGCTGTGTAGTCCAGCGTCAACGCGATTTTTCAGGAACCCCGAACAAAAATGAATTTTAGTAGTTCGTGTTGGGTTTGTTTATTCGGCGACAAGTCGTATTGTTGTCGTGACTTCTAAGCGGTCTCGCTTTGCACTTTTCCAAGTGTTTCCAGTCTTTCCAAGAAAAGAAGTGGTCTTAACTTAAACAAGCATTTCACCCAGTGAATCACTGTTTTTCTTTTATCAAAATCGTCGATTTTTTTAAAATGAATTCTAGGTCGGACTATATCAAGTAGGGCGAGCGATTGGTCGTGGTAATTTCGCCACCGTCCGATTAGCTAGACATGATATTGCAAGATCCTAAGGTTATTTCACGATTTTATATGTAAAGTTTGTTTTGGGATTCAAAAACATTTTTTCGCATTCCATTTTTGTTCAGGTTGCATTGAAAATAGTGGATAGAACGGCACTTGATGAAGAAAATTTGATACGATTGGAACGTGAAATGCAGATTTTAACACGTGTAAATCATCCTCATATAGTGAAACTATATGAAGTCAGTTTATTGTTAGCCTCATAATTTGATTTTGTGAAATCAAATAATTTTGTGCCAAGTTGTACGTTTAGATAATGAGAACCGAATCGTCCATATATATAGTAACTCAATATTGTAGTGGAGGTGAACTATTTGGTAGGTCTTATCATGGCATTGTTCGGTAAAGTACTCCATTATCGTCTAGTGAATCAATATTCATTTTACAGAAATTTTGATAGAACGAGGTCGGACGGCTGAAGATGAAGCGCGGCGATGGTTTGGGCAGATCGCGTCCGCCGTTGCATATTTGCATCATAAGGGTTCGTTTTTCATTTTGATGACGTCAGCAAGCTTGTGTCTATAGACAATAGTCGTGTTTAAAAATTGTTCGTCGTCGATTTTCTTGAGTGGGCGGTTCAATGGTCGATTACTGCTACGCATATATACCGACAACTTATCGACTTTTCTTCTAGATTGAAGTGAGAAGTTCTTCTCTTTTGACGGCGTATTGGGCCTAAGCCCTTCTTCAGGTTCATTGAATTATAAAAAAACAAGCACGATCTAACATAGTTACACCATCAAAAGTAATCATAAATGCGACAACAACCCAAAGTAAATCGTCTGGGAGAAGGGGGGGGGGGGTGCCAAGCCTTATGCAGACGCTGGCGGAAATTGGAAATGGAAGTTTCGTTTACTGTCAATGTTGTTGCTGTATTTATGGTTACTGTTGGTGATCGAAATATAATTCGTGTTTAGACCTCGCTTGTTTTTTTTTTCAAATCAGTGACCTGCGGAAGGGCTTAGGCCCGAACTGTCGTCAATAGACAGGGATAGGGTTCGATAGAAAAGATGATCTTCTCTATTCTTTTTACAAGAGTATGTGCCAATAGAATGAAGCGCAGAGAATCATCTATATTACCTAGCTTATCGATTTTGGTTTTTTTCCAAGGGGTGGGTTGTTGTTTTGGTGTTTTTTTTTCGCGAGAATTTTGGCAGTTCCATCCAACTACGTACCAACGCATTTTACAATATGACCAGTAAGTATCTTTGTTATTTCAAATGCTGAAAGGGTTCATTCAGTTGAAGTTTGAACACCGTTTGTCCTTTAGTGCTCTACTTTTTGGGACTTGCGTTAAAGTTGACAGGAATTTTTCCCTTTTGTTGGATTTCGCTGGTGTTTTGTCGCCGAGGGTGGGAGGGTTTGTTTTTGAATAAGAATGTCGCATATGTTTGCTGATAAAGCGCGTGGAACATGCAGAAAACTTTTCTGTGATGCGGTTTCCAGGAGTTTCGATAAAATTGTGAGCACACCTTTGAGCTTTAGAGCAACAAGTGAATGGAGTTAAACTTCCCTTTCTACCGTAACGCAGAAGCGTTTTCTCGCTTAGTTGTTCATCCGGACCTTCTAAGTAAGGAGAAAATAAGAAGCTGGAAAAAAAGGCTCCACAGTTGATAAATCCTAAAGCCTGGATTAGGATTTGCGAGTTTTTGTAAAGGATCAAGAAAAAGCGTTACTCCTAAAGTTCACGTCTTGAAGTTCAACACTGGAAATCATGGGTAGGCCTGTACAGGCTTGTTTCTAGGAATTCGTTTCACTCGGCTGACTAGCAGCGTGACGATAACCACTTTGGGTATTGAACCGATATACACTTCCGAGTTAGAAATATACCTAATCTCCTCATGAGTTCGAAGTTCTGTGTCTCATGAGGGGCCTCTTAGAGGGACTGAGCCGGTCATAACTCCTAGTCTGCACCCTCTCACTTAGACGACATAATTATCGCGTTATAATGTGGCGGCTTACAAGGGGCCTCCCTATAGGTTTGCCGATCCCGAGGCACATTTTTTTTCGGATTCGACAACGACTTCTTCTTTGATGTCATTTATGACGCTCTTATTTCTAGGTATTGTCCATCGTGATCTTAAAGCTGAGAACATTTTATTGGATAAAAATAGTAATATTAAAATAATCGGTGAGTTCATTTGGTACCTACTGAATATTTCTTATTGATTTATTAAGAATTTCTCTACAGATTTCGGTTTTTCTAACACCCAAGCACCGTCGCAGTTATTACGGACGTGGTGTGGATCACCCCCTTATGCTGCTCCAGAACTTTTATTAGGTTTGATTTTATTTTGAACATTTTTGTTGGCCACGCGGTGCTTTTGCAGATTTTTGCGTCTCAAAAATTAGCTAACCGTTCGATATTCATTCATTGTGAGGACATTTTAACGAACTTGTACAGTCATGATACAGGCAAGGAGGAGGCGTGTGACGGGGCATGGATTGCGAACGCTGCAAAGGCAGATTTTTCCACTAATGGCGGGTGGGCTGTTTTGGCTGCGCTCCGATTCACGCCTCTTCACACGTCTCCCCTCCCCCTCCCCTTCCCCCATCGTTCAGGAGGATCTCAGGAGGATCATGATTATAAATGACCTATGGCACTTGAGATCTTCTCAAATGAAGTGCAGGGCAAAAATGTCATACCAGTACACCTGCATGTTTTTACAAGGTCACATATTTCAACGAACGCAAAAACATTTGCACCAAGGTTAGAACTCGAACAAATTGCTGCTGGAATAGTAGTTGTCCGGAAATTTTTGAGAAAATTTCGCTCTTTCAATTTGCAGAAGTATGGAGGGTGAGTGCGCCAGACAAAATCGTCTATCTAATGCTATGAGACAGAGAAATGTTTCTATGAGTTAACATTACCTAAAAATGTACTAGCACCACTTTTCACGCTTTTTACTTCACCTTCACGTCCTGTGGGGATGACGCGCTGTCACCCATGCTACGCACAGACCTTCCGAAATTACTTTCAGCAGGAGTTCTGCATGTGCAATTCTAGCTTCGATGTTGCGCACGTTCCCGCTTTCTCGATGCTCATTTCATTCTAACAGTCACAAAGTAATCCCGCCCAAAAGTTAAGCAAAATACGATGCACAATGTTTATCATAACTATCGAGTCTTATCTCATAATGTTGTTGATAAGTGTTAAATGAACTAATCGGGATTTCTCAAAACCTTCCGGACACCATAATACTTAGACTCACATTGATTTTATTTTGCAGTTGTAGTATTTTGTCTAATCGATGCTACTTCTACGTTAATATTGTCATTTTGATCCGTCAGGCCCTGTTATCCCGAAAATTTTCGGGATAACAGGGCCTGACGAAGGTGCTACGCACCGAAATATTGCAAGATAAGATATATTTTAAAAAACTTTCGAGACTTTTGTTGTCTTTTGAGTTTTTTGGAATAAATTTTTGGAGTTTCACATTATTACTACACAGTCACATAAGAAATGAGGCTCCGGGACAGCACAATACTCCATTGCCATTTTGATTACAGGTAAAGAATACGATGGTCTAAAAGCCGATATCTGGTCCCTTGGTGTTATTTTGTACATTCTCGTCACCGGTGGATTTCCGTTTCCTGGCGATAACGTCGAAAATCTCAAACGAGCAGTATTGTCGTGTCAAATGAAGATCCCATATTGGGTGTCTGTCGGTACGTGTTTGGTTTTCATTTTCAAATAATCGTGATTGTTTATTGGATGACGTACTTTGTTCTTCGAATTACTCGGTCACTGGGTCGCTCTTTGATGTTAGTCCAAAAAATTGTCTTGGGTGCAGAAAATGAATCAATCGATACTGTTGACTTTGGTTTTTGTCTTGTCACAGTATGAATTGTAATCTTTCTAACTAGATTTATTTCAGAATGTGCTGATTTGATAAAGAAAAT